GTATAATAAACAGATACAAATGGTGCTGGGAAAGATCGAAAAAAACTATTTAAGGAACTTACAGCATAACAAACTATCCATTAAATTAAGGGATCACTTAAGCATAGTGGTCAACCAAGTTTAGAATTCTGATGTAATCTAGAGAGGTCCTTCTAAGAATTATTAAGGGTCTCAATGAAAGCAGTCAAATATTGTCTTGACTGTTCTTACCTGTAGACACATTTTTAATTCGTGATATCGCATTGTCCAAATGCATTAATACTTGACAAGCAGATTAATATAAAGATATTCTCGATTCCATATACTGATTATTCGATTAGCGGTATCTTTAATTAAATTTAACTTTAGGGACCTCTTAGAGTAAGACATTTGAAAACATTTGAATGTCACAGACAATGAAGCGCTAATACCCTAATGGTTTGGGTTACGGACTACCGATCTCGCGGTCAAGGGTACGAATCCCGCCATTCGAATATTGTCGTGAACCATATCCTAGCACAAGCCTAGGGCTTAGTTGGAATGGTTAAAGGAAATATTAGTAAATTAACAAAAATCTACTAATATTAAAAATAAAATGATAAAACAAAGATTAAATGAATGGATAGATGTTTGAGTTTGTAGCCTAAACTGCTGAACGGATTTCGATGTCATTTAATTTGGGACAGATTTAGTATATTGTTTGGAAGAACATACATGATACTTTTGTTTTTTTTTTTATTCTACGCGGACAGAGTGGCGGACAAAAGCTAGTTTGACATATTTCGTCAAAAATACACTTGTTTAGAGTCCTTTTTTTGCCCCATTATAGCTTTAATCCGGTCCCACGCCCCGGAACCATATTGGATTACGTCCGTGGGAGAAAGGATGTTGGTATCTATTGAATACTATGTTCGGTATTTATATCTTTTATTTGAGGCTTGATGACATTAAGTAGTGGTTGTATTAAACTTAGTTACTTAATACATAGTTTTAACATACATTCTATAAAAAACTATATTTGTGTATCGCTATTTACTCTTTTAATAGAATTTAAAGAAAAAAAAAGTCAAATAAAAAATAATACACCTATATTAAAGTTGAATAAATTAAAAAACACGTCATTTACGTAAAATAAGTTAATCCGAATTTTGAATTTCATCATATTAGATATCTATTTAAAAAAAAAACCTAAATGCCATAATATTGACGTACGTTAGAAAACAGGTTATGTTAAATCGTAAACCGATAGATAAGATAACTGGATCATTTTACGATAGTAAACACTGGCAGCGACAATCGATTTATGGTCGGTTTCCCAGTGTTTCACCATTCGTTAGTGTGTTTGGTTTAAATTCATGAAATGCGTTTCCGAACTACGCAGGTTCAGTTTTACTCCGTTGAAACTTAGGTCAGCCTAACACTAATGAACTGCTAGGTAATGATAAAATAAATAGAAACTTAAGAAACCCAGCATTATTTAAACGTGTGGTAACAATAACATACAAATGGAGTAGAAATCTAAATAACTAGCTGTTCCCCTGCGACTAATTTATTTTATTGTTTACATGTGTCCAATTATCAATTGCAAATGTCAAAATGACATGACGCTGACAAACCATGGCAACCTTGCTTTCTTGATGTTGGCAGCAACTTATGGTCTCTTTCGCACATTAGGGTTTTTATCCAAAATATTTACCCCTAAGTTTAATGGCGTGAAAATATATAGCCTAAAGCGTGACGTAAGTGTAGTGCTTTTTATTAAAAAAAAGAATTATTCGAAAATATGCCGTAATTGCTGATATCTTAGGCAACAAAGAAGTGTGTGTTTACGCTTTATTATAATAGTATAGATAATGTTTTCAACCATTATTATCCTTAGCCTTATTAAACCTTCGCTAATTGTAAAATAACAGCAAAAAAACACATATTTATTTATACTTTTAATTACTAGATAAAGTAATACAATTTAATTTATTTCAAGGTTAATTAAAAATAAAATTACTGGTATTGAAACTACTCATTTTGAATTATTTAAACCTTTCCAAGAAGCATATGACCACGAAGGTTGGATATGCTGTGTGTTTTTATTTATTTTTATAATTCACAAGAAAATTATTACACTACTAGCTTGTGCGCGCGACACCGCCCGCGTGGAATTATAAAAAAAGAACAAAAGTCAGTAGCCTATGTATTCTTTCAAACTATTCTTTTCGTCTATGCCAAATTTTATCAAGATCTGTTCATTCATTCAGGCTACAAACTGTAACAAACGTCCATCTAATTGTTACTTTTTCGAAACATGTCATATTAATTATTTTTTTGGCTGTTTATATAAAATATGTATTTCTAACATCTTTAAACTATTAATAGAAGAATCCAGTACTTATGTACTGTAGTGTTAATAATAATAAAAATTACGTATAACGTGAGCTAATGAAGAGTATGTGTCAATTGTAATCGATTTCTCAGAATGATTTTTTTATCCTTGTAATTTATTATATCGTTCTATAATTAACATTTATACGCAATTATAGTTAATGTTATACATTTATAATAATCCGAAAAAAATATTGCGAAATCTTTAGTCACATTAAAAGCCTATGAAGTTTCAAAGGGGAACCATGTTTATCAACAATGTGAACGCAGTTGTGGTTAAGTATGACGTATTTCAATGCACTCGAAGTAGACGAATGCCTAAGCTACGCCCCCATAGTACTCATGATTCATACAGGATTCCCTGTTTTATGCGAACCTCAATTCGCTGAAGTGTTTGACGCATTGCTTTCTAAGAAAAAAATATACCGATTGCAGAGGATAAAATTCCGATGACCGTTATAAAAGTGTTACAGTTTCTACTGTTCTCCTCGATAAGTTAAAGTCCAAGGGATACACAAAATATTTTAAGTTATCAAGGGTCTATGACAACATACAAAGAGGTTTTGGGCTCTGATGGGAAGGGAACATATTATATTTTGAAGTTATAGAGGTTTTTAAGTTACCGAGGTTCAAGTTATCGAGTTTCTACTGTATAAGGTTTCGTACAATGACCTTAGTGACCTAGATATTTTGTAGAGCTAAGTAATTCATAACATACATTACTAGCTTTTACCTGCGACTCCGTCCGCGCAGAAAATACAAGTAAGTCTGTGTTCTCCAGTCTATGTTCTAAATCTGTGCCAAATGTTGCTGAGATCCGTTGTATTGTTTTGGATTTTTGCAATGTTTTTTATACAGGTGTGTTTTTTTTATACGGCGGAAACACAAACAATCATTTGATTAACTTATAATCAAATAGCCGTACTTAGCTAACAATAAAATCAATAAATTTAATATGCAAATTGCTTTGCAATATTATCCATAAAGCGGTAATCAGCAAATGGCAACGTGAATCTAACATTAAAACGAAAGAATAATACTGGCATAGTGTTATATTATCTGTGGCAATACTAAGAGTCAAATAATAAGTAAAAATATCTGGCACACGCGACTTCCTTGGCGTGGAATTAAAAAAAAAATAAACTATCTCTAAAGTCTATGCATTTATTGACTGTAATCTATGTTCCAATTTACATTGAATCTTTCTCGATTTACGATTTACAAAAACACATATATTCAAACAAAAGAACATTTGTTTCTAGGACTAAGACATAACCATGTTTGACTTGACTAATTTTATGTACTTCAAAATCACAAAATATTTCTACTAATTCCATATATTATTCTTCTATCGATAGATACTTTTAATTTGTTGCAGTAAAAAATATCAATATCAAGTTTCTAAATGCAAAAAAAACGATAAGTAAACAAAAACTTTGTCGGAAATGAACAAAAACTATTTGAAGTGGGACAGAAAAAAAAACAAAGTCTGTCTGTTTCGAAAAAGACAATAACCTAGAAAGGTCAACCTTCCAGGTAGTAGATGTGAGTTTAAAATACCAGCTGATTATCTTTTCAAACTAAGAAAAAAACGTTTTTTTACAACTATGGGACGCTTGAAATCTCTATATTATATATAGTAAATAACGTAAAAATTCTTAAATGCAAGAAAACTTTATTTCTAAGTCTTTAGAGACTGGCGGTTTTAGGTCTCTTGGGCGAGGTCTTTACGGGGCCTTTTTTTACCATGAGATCAATTCACAAACCTGTCTTGCCCCTTTACGGTGGTTACCCAACGTACCCTACTCTAACGGGGTAGAGACAAGATGCAATCTTTTGAACATATATTACAAAATTACTAGTAAACAGCTATCGAGTGATAAACGTACCGCAAGATAGATTCTTAACTAGAAATAAAAGCCATATCTTTTAACACATGTGTATTACCGTCAATTAATACCTCTTACATTATGCATAACGATACCTTAATCTTGTTTTCTCTATTATCCATCGACAAAATATCTTGTCAGCAATTTCCTGTCATTAATTACTTGGAAACGTATATACACATCACATTATGTATCACTGATTATTGCCTACATAACTCTGAACGTCAATACAAATGTAAACAAATAGATAAAATGCATAATTAATTAACATAATAAACATGGTTTATGAATGTCTCACAGTCGTGGTATTTAACAAAATATCTTTGAAACAATAGACGATCTCAAACATGTGGTGATAACGCGTGTTAAAAGTCGTGCTCTAAACGTGACAACACTCAATATAACTAAGAAACCTTCGTATCTCTATTACAATATAAAATGCATTTTTTAATCTTTAGATTCCCGAAAATCAAAATCTAAAATCAATGCGAGGGATTTTTTAGATTAAATTCGAGTTAAACGGGTACATAGATTTGATATTAAGATTTTTTTGTTACTAAAAACTCCGAAAAATAAGGTTATTCTTGTCTCTATCTTTACCATTGATTAGTTAAAACTGTGTTTACTATCGTTAAACTTAACCTTGTATTGTACAACAATGAAAGCTTGTTTATATTTCAAAACGCACACGTATTATGTTTTAATAAACGAGGAAGTTATAATAACTTCTTTACAATTATTCAAAAAACAACTTACCAGTCCTTGAATTCTAGGAAACATCTTAACACAGAACTCACTAGAATCACAAAATTGTTAGCACAAACTTAAACAAATGACCTTATAGCACGAAAACACTATGCATGGCGTATACACTATAATAATGGAGTGCAAGGAGTTTGCTTTAGCCCGTTGCGTACGTGCGCACGAGTCGACCCGTTCGACGTATCTGAGTATAAAACATGATTCGTTTACTCCACACAACGGTTTCAAAATGGTGATTCACATGTATACTTTGAAGGGGGGAGTGTTGTCCCTTTATCTTTGTTATTTATCTTACAAAGCTTTTATGAATTTTGTCATTTATTTAAATACTTGTCTAGATTAAAAATGTTGTAATTATATTAGTTTGATTACGTAATTGTTGCAAATTATAGCTTAAGACGTATCCAATTAGGGTGAAATTAAAAATTATGAGAACTTTTACAATTTCATTGTAATTAATCAGAAAACTAAAACACATCTTGACTAACTCTCAAAATACAAGAAATATAAGACCGTCTTAACAATCTAACGTTTTACTATCTCACTAATATAAACGCAAAAGATTCAAAGGATAGATGGATGTGTAGAGTTTGTTGCCTAAACGGCTGAATGGATTTCGATAAAAATTAAACATGTAGTGGATAGTCTGGAAGAACACATAGGCTTACTTTTTTATACCACGCGGACGGAGTCGCGGTCAAAACTAGTTTCACGTAATTGTAATAAAAAAACAAATGACGTAAAAATTCCAAATCTATTCACAAAGACGTCTTCAAAACGGTTTGACCTACAAATGACACTCTAAAAATTACGTCACGACAAGGAAAAAATCATGAGAAGAATAAAATTATACAATCACCGTTACTTCCGCGTCCTCTATTATATGTGTTATCATATTGTTTGATAATTGTCTTTCCGGGTGCAACAACAGTACTCGTAAATAGTTCCCGTTAACATACATGTATACTTGGTACAAATTACACGAAAAATTGCTTTATTATTACTTGAAAGGTTTTTTTCTTCTTGAACTACGTTCTTTCTTGTTTGTGGTTCTATTTCCAGTCTCTCTCTTGTGTCATCCTCTGATACATGACGCCTACTATCTAGTTTATCTCTTTGATATATATTCTTCTTGGTTATCCCCTTTCCTTTTACCTTATATTTTTTCTTCTATTATTGTTACAAGGTTTACTAAAATTAGGGCCTGTCCCACCAAATTGTAAATCGTCTGATAACAAACGAACTTGTGAAATATGTGATAGAAATATCGTATTTTGTTTCCTTATCTGACAGTGACGTCATATTAAGCTATCTGAGCCTCTATCAGCCAGTGGTGGGACAGGCCCTTAAAATGATTGTATGTGAATACAGAAAAACCACCTAAATTTAAACGAAATATTAGGTTGTACAAATTAGAACAAAATTTATAGTATCATAACCAATTAAATTACTTTTCTGAACTTTAAAAGGTCATTGAATTTATATTTAGCATTTATATTTTATTTTTAATTTTATTCAAAAACAAACAGGATTTCAATGTCACTTTGTTCCGTGTTTTTTTTTTTATAGGAATTTAAAAAAAGTCAAGCTTAACAAATCCGAATTAGGTGAATTTACAAGTAGGTGTAAAATTAAAAAATCAAATCAGCTTAATTATAATAAGGGTTGTCGAAACAGTTAAAAAGAATACTTCAAAAATACATTAAAACAATCTGCAAGGATTTACTAAAGTATTATTGTAGCTAAATGGCTGCAATTTAAAGAATACATAAGAAGTTTGGAATATTCCAGGTATAATATAATACGTAAGGTAATACAAGCTTTTATATCAGACACAAAGGATTACTGAAATAAAGTAAATATTACTAAGATTTCCATAAAATGACTATTCAGAGCTATCCAAGAAGAAACAAAGTTCATTGGGAAGAATAAGGTACAGCAGATTATTACCAACACGATATTTAAAAAAAAGACGAAAATCTAGTTGCATAATATTGATTATTAAATCTGATTGAATAAAGACATGTAATATGACACTTCTATTTTGGGCAATCAGTCAGGTTGTGGTATTTTATATTTGCATCTATACTATTATAATAAAGCGTAAACACACACTTCTTTGTTGAAGATGTCAGCAATTACAACATATATTTGAATATCTCTTTTTTAATAAAAACCCAACACTTGCGTCACGCTTTAGACTATATATTTTAACGCCATTAAACTTAGGGGGTAAATATTTTGGATAAAAACCCTAATGTGGGAAAGAGACCATAAGTTGCTGCCAACATCAAGGAAGCAAGGTTGTCATCATGTCATGTCGTTTGGACATTTGTAATTGATAATTTGACAAATGTAAACAATTAAATAAAGTGTTATTCTTTAATTTTTATTTCTAACCTCGTTAATCTTTTATAGTTTAATTTAAACGAAAATCAACTTCTACAGATTTGTGGATTTACGAGACTAGTCATGAATGAATATTTATAAAAATTATAAATAATTTAATGACGCATGAGCTAATAATAGTAAGAATAATGAATCATTTGAAGCGTTAATTAACCATTACTATGACTTACAATTTAAAACACCTCTGATGAAATCTGGAAATCTTGGCACGTATCGCCTAAAAGATAAGATTTTTGGTTTTGGTATAAAGGTTATCACTTACATATCATATCTGGAATTAAGCCTCCACTTTTTCCAACTGGTATTCTTGCGTCAAAAAAATACTTAGCAAAAACAGACGCTGCGAACGGATTGGTGAAGAGTTGATACATGAGTGATAACCTCAACCATTTTCTTGTTAGTGTATCTGTAGAGATACATCAGAATTTTTTATTATTATTTTTTCTAGACACCTTGGGTCATCAAGGTTAAGTGCTATGAATATTATTTTGATATTCGAAAAAATAAAATTCTGCTAAGTTAAGGGTTAAAATTAATTTGTTCTTCGCAATTTAGACGATGTTTCGACGAACTTCTATCCATTTAAGATTAAAATCTGAGTGAATAATTGTATTACCGTATTATATCAAGTTAATCCTACTTATTAAGAATCTCTTTTGTGTTATCGATTACTGAGATCTACTAAATCTCTTTTCCTTGTTCCAATTCCTGTAAACTGTGAACTGTGATTTGTCAGTGATAAAGACTGGATTATGTTTTAGTAACCCTTATTTCAAAATCAGCTGCTTTTTGGTTTATAGCACGTTGGAACTGTTTATTATCTTATTTTTATTGATATTTATGATCATCCGATATATCAAGGTGATAACCTACTTTCAGAGGTATACTGGCTTTATAGATCCGATTAGATTCCTCGATAGCATATTGAGGAAATACAATGTTATCGACATCTTCTAAATCTATATCGATTTCATTCTAGATCTGATAACCTAGTTTTTTTTTTATCTGGTTAAGTATAGGATAAGTGCCAGTATTAACTTTTATTGTAAGTTTAACATTTGTGTGTTTAAAATTATTTTAAATGTGACCTGACATCTGTTCACAAATGCCGTTAACGTATGACAGTTGGTGACGTATGCTGTCAAAATTGCCATCACCAAGTAGTTGTAACTATTCATTACGAAAATAAAAATAAAAATTCCAATTCTGTACGAAACTTGAAACATTCTTTAAAATTCGATGATTTTTAAGCCGTGTTCGGGTTGCTAAGTAATATTTGAATGATTGGATTTTAACTTGGATTATATCAATGTTACTTGTGTAGCTAGGGTTAATGAAAAGGGCCGAATTTATATGTAATAATTAAAAATAAGATATCTCAAGACAAATTTTAGGAGATCTATGAAAAGTTACATAGAGCAATTTCGTAGCTTATGTTACTATTTGTGTATTCTCTTATTCCATGGCATTGTTTTGTTTTGAACATGTTTATTCTCGGTGTTTTCGCCGCTTCAGATGAATTTCCAATAGCATTTAAATTTATACCTTATTGATTATGTCCATAAACAGGATGAACTACGTCAATCCGTCAAGGTCTTTTTTTTCGTTGTGTAAGGTCTCTATTCTGTTATCCTGTTAGCATAAAGTATACGATATTTTGTCTTTTACTTATTGCACAAACTTCTTTTGTTTTCTCTGGAATCCCCCACGTATTGATCGACAATCGTTAAGGAGACGAGTTTCTATTGTTTTTGTCTGGGCTTTTCAAGCATTGACACGCAAGTCTTCCTACTCAGTACCACAATAAAGGTACATGTTGATTTTATAAATCTATGTCCAATATGAAGATAGGAAGTATTCTTTGTTAATTACAGTAAACATCTAAATAGATATGTTAAATCTGACTAATATTATAAATGCGAATTTTTAAATCAATATTTGTTAGAGTTTGTAGCCTATAGCCTACAGTGCTGAATAGATCTCGATGAAATTTGGCATAGATGTAGAGGATAGTCTGCAAGAACATAGAGGCCACTTACTTTTGTTTTTGACCGACTTCCCAAAAGAAGGAGGTACTCAACTCGTCTGTATGTTTTTTTTTAATTTCTATTTTTTATGTATATTACGGCATAACTCCGCCGCTAGTGGACCGATTTTGATAATTCTTTTTTTATTCGAAAGGTAATGCTTACATTTGGGTCCCATTTTTTGATTGATTTTTGGAGTCATTGTTTTTTAATTCCACGTGGACAAAGTCACGAAAAGCTAGTTCTATAATCAAATTATCAATTATTTTCTATCTTAATTAACAGCTCTTTGTCTGTATTTTATTTTCTTTATCCTAGTTTAAAAAAGATAAAAATATAGTAAAAACGAGATATTCTCAAAAAAACAGTACACTAAAAAGTAACGAAATAATTCCTTGAAAATAGTAAACCTACTTTATTGTAGCTGTTATGTCTATATTGTACAAGTATTATTACTTTGAAGTCGGTGTCAGTCAATGTAGATTCATTACTTAAACGTTACTATACTTTCAATTGTCGGAAGTCGGTCAAAAAGTTAAAAGACAATATATCTGGATACCCTTTTCTCTACTATTGAATTAATCCACATCGTGTGGTATAGTAATGAATGATTCTAATGTTTTCAAACACACGACACTGTTTATAATAGAAGTATCATACGATATCAAGTTTAGAATAACGATAACCCGGTCATCAGTATTAAATCGTAAGCCATTACGCCTTATTGCTTTATCGTGTTTAACGATACCGACGGTAG